CCAGCACTTCTCAGTTCCAAGCAGCTACATGGAAACTACACCCTTTCCCCCTAACTGCAGTCCTATAGGGATAGCGCCTCAGAGGTAGGAATATTGTAGTTAGGTAAAAATATAGTAGGCAGTCAGACAGGGCTGAGCCCTCGAGGAAATCAGTACAGAAGATGAGGGCCGGGTGTGGTGGCTCATGCCTATAATCCCAGGACTCAGAGGCTGAGACAGGAAGATCTTTGCGAGTTTGAGACCAGCAAAGTGAGCTCAAGGCCAGCCTTAACTGCATATAGAGACCCTATCTCAAAAAGACAAAAAAAGAAGAAGAAAAAGAAGAAGAAGAAGAAGAAGAAGAAGAAGAAGAAGAAGAAGAAGAAGAAGAAGAAGAAGAAGAAGAAAATCCATTAGGACTGTGGCTGGAGGAGCATCTGACGGTCAAAATCACAATGGATAGTCCTACATACTTCCCTAAGGGACTTACAGCTTGAGATCAGTAATATCACCCTTTTTGAGATTTCCCTTTATCTCATTAGGGGTGGGCCATGCTCTCCCACTGCTAAGACTAACACCACTAAGATTAAGACTACAAATTATCCACCAAGGTTAATGATGTCACCCATGTACCCTTGCTACCATTAGATCAATTATTACCTAAGTGACTTTTCGTGCAGTCTTATTGGCTGATCATCATTTTGGCCCCTGTTGTACCCATCTCATGATTTTGCTCTATAAAAGTTCCTTTGAGATGCAGGCTTGCTGGCAACCCAACCCATTCCCCATTCCATTTCTCCAATAAATTTCCTACAAGAGAGAAAGACAGACAGAGAGAGAGAGAGAGAGAGAGAGAGAGAGAGAGAGAGAGAAAACCTTATTGTAGAGATGGCACCTGAGAGACAGATGGGGACCCAAACATGGGTTGGCAATGAATCTGCTTCTCAAGAGCAAAATCACGAAGTGGTTACAAAATCATGAGACGGGTACAACGTGGGACAAACCTATGATCAACCAATAAGATTACAAGCACAGCCGCTTAGGTAATGTTTACCAGTGGGGAGCAAGTCACTTAGCACATGCATGTGGAAAGAACAAGGTCCTTTTTTGGAAGAGTTGAGTCAGGAGATCCTGGTTACTTACCTGGGCGACTGATGTCTCTCTAGATTTTATTGGACCGGGTGATACCAAATATAGTATCATCTTTAGTGTATTGTTTATCCCCCGGGGGAGGAATGTAGGCCTGGTCATTCCGTCTTTATCAGGAGGCCTGGCCTTTGACAGATGCGCCTCCAGCCACAGCTGTGCTACGTTCCATCCTCCCTACTGACTCCCTCGAGGGCCTCGCCCTGTCTGACTGCCTAGAATGTTTCTACCTAATTTAGCGGTCTGTAATACTTTCACCAGCCCTGAAGTCAAACCTGGAAGCTCCTTCCTGGCATGACCACACTGATTATCGTGCTGTGCCTGCCTTTCACCCCTGCTCCTTGTTATTACGGGGCAGGTGGCCAAGCCTGACCTATTTCAATAAGGGAGTGAAGGATTTTGCCCCCAAACTGCAGTAACAATAGCTGGAAACACGACAGAACACAAATCTTAACTGAACACAAAACCAGCTCTTGAGTTGGGAAGCATAAGTTACAATTCTAACTCTGCAAAAACATTTTTTAAAAAATCAAGAGCCTGGTCTTGATTGGGCTGGGGATTTAGCTCAGCAGCATAAGCACCTGCCTTGCAAGCAGGTGGTCGTGAGTTCGATCCCTGGTACCGATACTTAAAAAAAAAAAAAAAAAAAATCACAAGATTGCCATTGAGAAAGAAACTGAAACAAAGACCCTCTAAGAGGTCTCTCTAAAGGTACAGTCACCACCCTCTGTCTTTTCCCAAGGTGTCCTCCGCACCTGGATACCCTTTCCCACAGGGCCACTGAGCTATAACTATGGCCCTGTTTGCTGTGATCCAGCCCTGCAGAACTGGGGACACCTGAGTCCCAATGCCCTGCCCAGCTCCCTGCAGAGCCCAGCTAGGAGAACCACACTGCCATCATGTGGGCTCCTCTGCATATAGCCGCCCCACTCCAACCAGCACCCTCTCCTAGGCTTGAGCTTCAAAACTGTCCTCTGACAGCCTATGCTGGCTGGCAGGTTCCTGGGGGCCTGGTGGGGGGTCAGTAGTCCAGGGCCAAGACAGATGCTTCTAGGGATCTTTAGGATTCCACCTCCTGAACCAGGTGCAGTGACACAAACCTGTAATCCCAGCTCCAGAAGCTGAGGCAGAAAGATCACAAATGCAAAGCCGGCCTAGGCAATTTAAAGAGACTGTGTCTCAAAATAAAAAGCAAAAGGGGCTGCGAATGTAGCTCAGTGGTAGACCTCTTACCCTGGGTTCATCCTAGCATTCCCTAGTCTCTTAGTGCCATGGACAGCAAGCTCCTTGACCCTTTTGTGCCTCTGTTTCCTCATCTGTAAGATGGAGGCTGCCTCATAGCAATAAAGAATTCAATGAGTTAACACACGTAGGGTGCTTAGAACAGCGCCAAGTATTTCACAACTCTAACAATCAGGAGCTTTCAAACCCTCTGACCATGACCCATTAGAAAAATATTACCATCACTGTGTGGGTCACGCAGACATAACAGCAACAGATGTTTCACAAAGCAATATTTATGCCAGCACACTGGTATTCTCTATTCTGTTTTGTTTTAAACTGCTCACAACACACTAAACTAATTTCACAAGCCCACAGTCTGAAAACCACTCCCATAAGCTCACAGTCCTGGGTTCTTTTCCTTTGTTTCCTACCTAGCCCTGAGCCTGCCTTATGACTAAGTCAGACCCAGGCAAGTCAGCTCTGGCTGCACAGAGGAGCCGCCATGCAGCGGAGGAGGCCCCCGAAGGCCTGCTGAGCGCAGTGATCTCTCAGGCTCTCTCCCTGCAGGAGGGGAGGGAGCTGCACCAGGCATCAGAAGCTGGGCAATGTCAGCCCCCATGCTGTGTCCTATAATCCACAGCCCCTGTAATGAGAAAAGTGGTATTCTTCCCATTTCTCAGTTGAGAAGCCTGAGGCCAACAGAGGGAAATGACCAGGGAATAAGGATAAACAGCACTGATCCTGCTTTGGAATTCAGAAAGTGCATTAAGCAAGGAAACTGGCTCTCTAGACATGCTGTGAAACTCTGAATAGGATTGATAGGAAGCTGTGAAAGAGGAAGTGCTAGACACTGGAAAAGCAGACATGAAAATAGGCAGGAAGCAGCACGCATACCAGATGGCATCTGGCATTATCAGCAACAGCTACAGAAAGGAGGTGGACCTCAGTAGGAGCAGGGGACATTAAGGGAGTCTCACCATTGGCTCCTATCCCGGGGGAGGCCAGAAGCAAAAGCAATAGATCAGACACGGTGGAAAGGCCACTCCTGCCTACACCTGACCTAGGGACTTGCCTGCAGTGGATGAGGGATTCTATTACCTGTAAAGCTACTGTGGCGGCCAGTGGTCAAAGCAGATGGGCCAGTTCCAAGAATGTCCTCATCCTGTCCGTGAGGAACAACCCTGCACAGCCCTGTGGACCTGCCAGTTGGACAGAGGACACACCAAAGCACAATGTGGCCAAAATGAGCTGGAAGAAGTGGGAAAAGACATGGCAATGATTCTGGAAGGGCATCATGGAGCCATGTAACGTGATGAGGAAAATGGGATTCAGAGTCAGAAGATTTGATTTGGGTCACTGCTCTCTGTTCAGGGGAACAAATGACCACTGAATACTTCCAGTGAGGCATCAACAATGCAAAAATAGGTGGACCCTCAGGGTGACAACAGAGTGAGGAGTGCGGAATAAAGGACAGACAATAGAAGGAAAAGCCTTTCAGTCACAAGAGGCAATAATTGCAAATGCAGTGACAGGAGAGATATTTCAGCAAATGCTGGAAATAAGTGATTCCCACTGGCCGGAGTGTAAATTGAAATGGATGTGGCAGAAGAGGTTCTGCCGATTTACCATCTTATTGGCTTGAAAAAGTCACATCACTTTTCTGACTATAAACCACTCCCTGAGATGTCCAAAGTGACTCAGTTTACTAAGCGTTTACTGAAGATTCACTGTGAGCCAGAAACTATAATAGCTTGGCACCGGGCACGTGGAAATAACTAACAAATCCCTACTCTCAGGAAGCACACAATTTTTTCGAAGATACAGACACCACAATTTTGAAAGCAATTTTGAAGAATAAATGAATAAAATAAATTTTAAAAAGTAGTTAATGCTGCTCAGAGAGAAGGTGATGAGATGTTCTGAGAGAAGGTGGAAAGTCAAATTAAGCAAAAATATGACCGAGGAAATGTATCATAGAACAAATGTACTCATGGAACTGTAAGACTGTCAATGGTTAAATGTAAGGTACAGCATACACAGGAGACAAGCAGCAGCTATGACACTAGCCGGGGACCTGCAGATGCTTAGAACTTTGCTGTTCATGACAGCAGCAATGACGTGAAAAGGTTCCAGCTCAAGCAGGTGAACAGACCACCGCATTTTCCCTGAAGCCTCACAAGCGGCCTCACTAGAGTCCAATTCCCAACAGCTTCAAAGATAAGCTTGAGGGATGCAAAACACCACCAGCCCGGCTCTTCAGCATCATGGGAAGGTGAAGCCCTCAGGAGCAGAGTGACCCTGCCAGAAACCCTGAGGTCCCGCAGTTGTGCGTGGCAGACAGTGGCCATAAAGTGGCTCTTGAATTCTGGGAAGGCTGTCTCGCCTTTAAAGGGAACCATGCCGGGGCTGGAGGTTTAGCTCAGCGGCATAAGCGCCTGCCTTGGAAGTAGGCAGTCGTGAGTTCGATCCCCGGTACCGATAAAAAGGAAAAAGACAAATAAATAAATAAAGGGAACCACGCAGGGGGAGTTTGCAGAGTCCATAACCACGCCTTCCGCCCGCCTTCCTCTCCCTTAGGTATGGCCCCCCGTGGGCCCCGCCTCCTTCCACGCCCTCTTCCGTCCCTAGTCCTTTCCCCGTAGGGCCCGCCGTCTCTTCCTGTTCCTATCAGAGGCCCCGCCCCCTCAGCGATACCTTCTTTGCCATTCCTGTTCGTAGACAAGTCTGATCCGCCCCGGAAGTGACGTTGATTCCCGCCCTCGAGGAGTGACGTCAGGCGTGCCCTTGACGGGTGGGGAGGGCTGGGAGGTGCGTCCCTCTGCTCGCGCCTCAAGGAGGTAGGACTCTTTGGGGGTGGCTCAGGGTGGTGTCGCGATTGAAGCGCGCCCGTGGCGTGCTTCTGCGAAAGCTGGCAGCGAGCAGGCGAGGGGGGGGATGTGGCCCCTTGGAGAGTTGACGTCCCTGACGACGTCCTAATTCCCCAGTTTCCTCCACACACGTGTCCATCCTTTTGGGTTCCCTCCACATATGTCCCCTCTATTTTGGTCCCTCCCGCCTTGTTTCTGTACCTCTTTGAGTTCCTCCTTCAGTAGCTGCGGTTCCTCTTTGCTAATCCTTAGGTAACGCTTTTTCCCCCCGCTTCTTAATTGCCCATTAGAACATATTTTTAAAAAGTGATCAGTAGAGTAAGGACTTTATGGGCAGCCTTGGGTTCGGTTGTTGACTGTCCCCTAATAGTTGGGTTACTTTGCCATGTCGCTTACGCTGTCTGAGCCTTTGATTCCTTGTGTGTTAAATAGGCAATCCTCAGAGCTGTTTTGAGAGAACCAATGGTGTACTTAACGCGTTTAGACCTCTGTAGGTGCTCTGCAAGTGTTTCGTGCCCCCCGACCATCTGTTATAATTCCACGGAGATCTCGATTTGGTTTTGGTTGGAAACCCAGTTTGCCTGTCCTGCAGTTTTACCAGCTTCCTTTTGATTCTCATTCTCACCGACCTCTACTCCAGAAATCTTACACCTCATAGTATTGCCTTGCATTTTGCTTCCGGCTGTGCGTCGTCCTGAGCCCCACCCCAGCACTCCCAAATCCCCTTTTCCCTCCTAGTATGTTGACTTCATGATATTCTCCGGCCTCTTCCCCTCATAGATGGCCCAACGACTTCTCCTGAGGAGGTTCCTGGCCTCCGTCACCTCCAGGAAGCTCCCTCAGGGTGGGTGGGCACCCCTCACCTCCAAGGCCCTGCAGACCCCGCAGTGCAGTCCTGGTGGCCCAGCCCGGACAGTATTCACCACCAGAGTGTGCTCAACATCCTTTAACATCCAGGATGGACCTGACTTTCAGGACCGAGTTGTCAACAGTGAGACACCAGTAGTTGTGGATTTCCACGCACAGTGAGTAGTGGGCATCGGTGAAAGACGAGGGGCCTGCCTGTTCAAGTGTTTATTAGTGCCTGCCACATCTCAGGGCTGCGTTTAATAACTAGGCCGTATTATGAAGCCTGCGTTTCCTTGTCCAAAAAGCTCAAAGTAATCTTCAGCTTTCGGGGACCAAAGTTGGGAGAGTATAGGACCATAGCATTGTCTGTGTATTCCTGGCCCTACAGATAAGTTGATTTTATTTTCATGTCTTGTCACTAAAACTGTGGGAAGGGCTGACAAAAAGTTACTAGGTGCATCCTGTGTACCCGAGATGACTGGAGGAGGTGGGGTCCCCTGCCACCCCTCATCCCAAGTGCTGTAGAAATTTGTTTTAGTGATAAGCCAATGCCTGTGGCCTGATATTTAACCTGGTCCTCATTATCTCTAGACTCTTATGCCCTGCCCAGGCGCTTCCTACAAAAACAGTTAGATGGACCCCGTCATTATGAGACTTGAGCCAGTGTCATCTGAGTTGGAAGTTGGGAGGTTTTGTGGTCTAGGCCCTGACAGATTTTCTGCTTTCTTTCTGATTCCAACTTGCTACCTTGGGCAGGCTATCTGATATTCTTGTACTCCCTTTCTTCCTTTGTAATTGGAGAGAAGGTCTTACAGACCTGGTATTTAAGTGTTTTAGGTTTGTTGATTGAAATCTCTGAATGTCTTCAGGGATTTATAAAAAGATAAGTTATCAGCTGGGCGTGGTGCCTCACTCCTATAATCCCAGCACCCCCGAGGTTGAGGTGGGAGGATCTTTGTGAGTTTGAGACCAGCCTGGGCTGCAAAGTGAGCTCAAGGCCAGCCTGAACTGCATAGCAAGACCCCATCTCAAAAAAGGCAAAAAAAAAAAAAAAGATATCCTGCCGTCCCCCTGATGTGGTGATAGGGCTCCCAATGGGACAGTGCCTCACTTTATTTAAAAAAGAAGGGGTACATGTTAGCTCATTCAGTGCCAGTCACTCCTTGGTGCTACTTACAGAGATGACAGCAGTCCTGAAACAGTGCTGTCCCAGTGCAGTGTGAGTGGGGCGGCAGCAGCAGTTGACCTAGCTGAGGGATCACAGAGTAACCCAGAGGAGATGCTCTGAGCTCAGCCTGGGTTACAATCCCAGCTCTGCCCTATGGTACAGATTTCTTAACTCACATGAGCCTCAGTTTCTTCAGATGAAGCCGAGAAGGTGCTGTCATGAGCATGGCACCTGTGGGCACTCTTCCCATTGACTTCCCTCCCTTGAGCCCTGAGTCCACGGGGTCCCTGTGGGTCGGGGGGTATTCTGGGGATGCAGCAGATGGGGCAGTGACTTGGACTGGGTGTATCCTTTCTCTCCTTCCAAGGTGGTGTGGCCCCTGCAAGATCCTGGGGCCAAGGTTAGAGAAAATGGTGGCCAAGCAGCGTGGGAAGGTGGTGATGGCCAAGGTGGACATTGATGACCACACAGACCTTGCCATCGAGTATGAGGTATGGATTGGCAGGGGTGTCACTAAGCAGAGAATGTCGGGCAGGAGCCTAGGGGCAGGTGGTATAAAAGATCTTATGGGTATGATTATCAGTAAGATGAGTTTTAAATCTTTTGTCTGAGATTTTTCTAGACTTTAGGAGCTTGAAGAGCTTTGCAGCTGTGACTGTCTGTCCTCAGTGACTTGTCTCTGTCTACCTCCTTTAGAAGGTGGCTATATGACCCAGGGACCAGGTCATTGTAGCAGCAGGACATTGTGCCTTCCCCCACCCACTTGTGCACTCGCAGTGATTTCTGAGCCCTCCCTGTGCCAGCCTGTGTGATTCCTGCACGGATAAGGGCTGGTCCTTGTCCCCAAGCTACTGTTGGTTTGTTAGAGAGAACAGCAGGCTTACAGGTCATTTCAGCATAGGGTACGGAGTGCTGAGTGGTGAGGCAGCAGGGGAAAAAGGGGTGCATTGTTCCTGGGGGAAGGGTGTGGACAGGAAAGATAGTGCGTGAGAGAGACCCTCTGAGCAACCCTGAGACTGCAGAGAGGGCAGCACAGCGCCAGCATGTGACATAGTCTCTGTGGTCTTCTGGTTTGCATGATCATGCAGCAGGTGTTTTATTGAGAGTGCCTAAGGCATTGTTACTGGAATGCGACTGTGACCAAAACTGACAAACTCCCTGCCTTTCTACCGAGCCTGTATTCAAAACACCATTCTAGTATTTTAAATCAGAAGTCAGCACACATTTTCTAAAGAACCAGGTGTAAATATTTAAGGTTTTGTGGGTAGTGGTCTCTACTACAAGCACCGAGCTGTCCTTGAGTAGCCTTGGACACGGACCACATGAAGGAGCATGGTCATGACCCAAGAGTACACTTTACAGCGACAGGCAGCAGGCCAAGGGTGGAGTTCACTGACCTCTGTCTTCTGTACATGTTAACTGTCAACATCAGTGTTGCAAAAGTTTCAGATTGGGAGGTTTTTGGATTAGGGACACTTGGCCAGTCAAGCCTATGTAAATATTCTAAAATTTAAGCCCGGCGTGGCAGCGCACACCTGTAATCCCAGCGCTTGGCAGGAGGTTCATTGCAAGTTCAAAACCAGTTTGGGTTACAAAGTTAGCTCAAGGCCAGCCTGAACTGCATAGCAAGACTGCATAGGGGTCGGGGATGTAGCTCAGTGGCTTAAGAGCCTGCCTGGCAAGCACAAGTTCATGAGTTCAATCCCTGGTACCAAAAAAAATGCATAGCAAAAAGACAAAAAGAAAAAAATTAGAAATCTGAAATCTAGGGGCTGGGAATTTAGCTCAGTGGCATAAAGCACCTGCCTTGTAAGCAGGCAGTCATGAGTTTGATCCCCGGTACCAATAAAAACGAAAAAGACAAAAAAAAAAAAAAAAAAAAACCAAACTGAAATCTAAAACATTTATGCTTCCAAGCATTGCAGATGAGGAAAACTTGACCTGTAATAAGTGCTATGGAAAAAAGAAAATCAAAAAGAGGGTGCAGGAATGCTGAGTGTAGGTTGAAAGGATTTGCTTTTTTTTAATCAGTATTGGGGATCAAACTCATTATGGCATTTATCACATTATATAGAACTCAATGTACAAGGCAGGTGCTTATGCCCCTGAGCTAAATCCCCAGCCCCAGGGTTTGCTTTTTAAAAGGATGGGCTGAATCCGGGCACGGTGGCACATGCCTCTAGTTCAGCACTCTTGGAGGCTGAGGCAGGAAGGTGGAAAGTTCAAGTACTGTCTTGACAATTTAGCTAAAATTGTGTCGCAAAAAGGGTTTGGGGATGTTGCTTAGGGCAAAAGCCCTGGGTTCAATCCCTAGTACATACCAAAAAAATAAATAAATAAAGCTGAGATGCAAGCCGACTGAAGCCTGCAGGTCTTTGGAAAGGCCACCAAGTGGAGCAAACCTTGAACATGAAGACCCAGAGCTTGGGAGCCTCTCAAGCCAGCAGGGCCGGTGCATAGAGCAGGAGATACCTGGGAAGGCCAGTGTCCTCTGCACCTTGGAGATCATCAGGGTGCGGAACAGGAGGGTTCCTTTCGTGGCTGAGTAACCAGAGTAAAGGATCGAGCAAGGAGTGGAATGGCAGGTAGCAGGCGAAGCCAGCCAAACTGGGGGTCTTGGAGCAGTCACGCCGAAGACAGCAGTACTGCAGAGCTGCGGTCCCACTGGCAGCCCTCGACCCCTTCAGGAGTTGTAAAGAAATAGAAAGTCAGGCATTGGTGCTTAAAATTTAGAAGAGTTCATGTGACAGTCCAGATTACTGGTTTTGTTGAAGTATGATCTGGCCTTAGTGAGCCTTCCTAAGTCACAGGTGTCTGCAGGAGGGGCCTCTCTATTCCAGAGTTGCAAGCCCAGGCTTAACTCTCACCAGCTGGCCCAGGTAGAGGTGTTGCCTGCTCTCCAGTCAGTCTTCCCTGCAGTGCAGGACAGGAAATGAATGGGGAAGATGGGGCAGGGTGGGACCAGCTGTCTGCCCATTGAGCTCGGTGGGGATATGAGTGATAACCTAAAGGAAAAGAGGTTGCCCAGCCAGAACTGGGGAATAAATGCTGGGCAGACAAAACACCAGTGACTGCTATTGCAGCTGATGGCTTACTGGCTGCTGATGCAAGGCTGTCCTTGGGCTTGATGACCAAAGGCGCTTTGACCACTTACACATCCCTGACCTTCCCCTCCTTGTGTATCCCCCACCCTGGGGCTGTAGCAGCTGCAGCAGTGAAGGTGTGATTCTGTGCAAGCTTAGGGTTGGGGCTTTTGGGCCTTCCACAGGACCGTGAGGAGATGTCCACACTGCCTCCTGACTCTGCCAAACACCACAGCTTCGGCTTTAGCAGGCACCTGAGGCCCAGCCACATGCCAGGGAACTGGCACAGGGGCATAGAACCCACTTCCACCAGCAGGGGTTGCATGCAGCGAGGGAACTCCCAGTGCTATCACCCCTGCCTTCTGGGGAGCCTGATGTGGGGATGATTGTGGAAAGCAAAGGGTTTCCAGTGGGATCATCTGGCCCACTGCCGACTGTCCAGATGGTGCACTGGAGCATAGATGGTCATTGCCTTGACCATCCAAACACAGCCACTGTCACCACTTAGGGAGACAGGGTTGATTTTTTTTTTTTTAATGTTCTATATAATGTGATAAACAATTCATTGAATAATAAATGCACATTTTTTTTTTTTTAGACAGGGTCTCACTGTGCAATTCAGGCTGGCCTTGAGCTCACTTTGTAGCCTAGGCTGGTCTCGAACTTGCAATGATCCTCCTGCCTCAGCCTCCCAAGTGCTGGGATTACAGGCCTGAGCCACCACGCCCGGCAAAGAAATGCACATTATTTTAATCATTCCCATTTTCCCCTACTTTAAAAATATTCCAAGTTTACAAACATGAATATGATCTGGCATATTGTCAAAAGGTAAAAATAGCGCTGGGAATCTAACTGCATAGTAGAGTATATGCACAAGGCCCTGGGTTCGGTCTCTTGCATTGCAAAAAGAAGAAACCAAATGACTGGGAATATATCTCTGACATAAGCATCCAGGCACAAAGTCCTGAGTTCGATTCCTGGTGCCAAAAAAAAAAATGGATTATGAGGCCCAGGAAGGGCCCAAGGTTCTGCATTTCTGACAGCTCTTAGGTGGTGCCAGTGCTGGGGTCCCAGACTGGACGTGAAGCAGCAAACATTCTCAAAGCCCCACGCTGACCTGTTGAGGTGCTGCCCTTTGGAAGCCCCGTGTCACCTGCCACTCAGGGCAGGTTGCTTGTCAGTGAAGTGTTTCACTCACGGGGATGGGCTGTTGTGAACTGTGTCCAGCATCAGAGCATCACACAGGAGGCTTTCACTGCCCAGGGAGTTGCCCACGTCTACCAGTCCATCTCTCCTCCCCACCACGCCCCTCAATCCTGGCAACCACTGATCTTTTGTTGTTTGCGGTTTTGTTTTTTTCTTGGGCATGGTGGTACAGGCCTATAATCCCAGCCCTCAGGAGGCAGAAGCAGGAAGATTTGGGGTTCAAGGCCAGTTTGGGCTCCTAGCAAGTTCAAGGGCAGCCTGGATGTGTAGCAAGTCCCTGTCTCCAAAAAAAGAAAAAAGGGAACAGATCAGCCATATGCCTGGGTGCTTCTGCAGCCCCTACTGCTATCAGCATCCCCCATCTGAGTGACACCACATTGTCACCCCAAGTCTGTGGTAAAATTGGGGTCCACTGCTTATGACCTGTTCATTGGTGTTTCTCATTTGAAGCATGAAATTTCTGTGATACTTCCCCGAAGATCTTCACTGTGCAAGGGCTCCGTATTTGCCCCTGATGCTTTGCTCTTGGGCGGAAGCAGAGCATGGCTTCAATCCTGGACAGCAAAATCAGAGAGATCTAGTTCCAGATCCCACCTCTACCACGTAACTTGCTGTGTTGTCTTGAAGCAGTCCTTCCACAGTGAAGCCTCAGTCATCTTGTGTCTAAGATGAACTTACTGAGCACGAGGGTGTAGCTCAGAGGTGAGCACTTGCCTAGCATGCATAAGGCCTTGGTTCTGTCCTTAGCACCACAAATGAAATAACCCTACCTAGATGCAGAAACTTAGGAGCTGGCGTATGTAAATGGCTAGTGCCATCCTTGACAAGATCTTTTGTTTAATGCTAACTTTGCAATTAGCTGAGAATGTCACCAGTGTCCTAAGACACAGTGCTGCGGCTGTCTCTGTGCAGGTGCTTAGCAAGAGTTATCGTTCAGATGAGTCAGGGTGAGACAAGACCTGAAAGGGACTTTGGGCTCCGTGTCCTTGCAGGCCAGCTCCAGGTCCACTGGAGAGACAGGGCACATGCATACACACTGCTCTCCTGGGTGCCCGGGTCTGGAGGCTCCGGTGGCTTCTCGGAGCAGGAGGCCATGCGACAGGTGCTCGCACATCTTGGCTCCAGCCCCTCCGTTCCCTTGGTCCTGCACGATGTGAGCAGAGTAGCCAAGCTCTGCTCCATTGCTGCATCTCATGCTCCTGTCACCTTTGCAGGAGACTCTAAGGCCTGCATGTGTGCACTGATGGCAGTCTTTGCCAGCACCAGGCCCTCCTAGCTGGTAGCCAACTACTCAGCAGGGCCACATCCCCTGTCCCAGCCCAGATAACCCCGCAGTGTCCTGAAACCCAGCTGCCTGCGAGCCCCAGCTGTGTGTATGTTGACGCTCAAGCTCCTGAGAATCCCTTTGACCTGACGTCCCTCAGATGTCAGAAGACTACATCAACAGCAAGTGTGTATGTGTGCCTGCAGGCGTGGAGCTGGCACTCAGGAGGAAAACCAGATCCCCTTGGCACTGGTAAGCTTCCAGGCCTGCTAGGGGACCTCTGAAAAAGAAGTTAGACCACTTTTCTTTTTTTAGGTGCTGAGGATTAAACTAAGGGCCTCACTCTTGCTAGGCAGGTGCTGCACCACCGCGCTCCAGCCAGCCCAAGAGCACGTCTTGAACAGTGGCATAAAATGTTTAAGGAATGAGTTGCCGTCCAGCAGCTGTGAAATTGAAAGCCAGTGGTTACAGTTTCTGCCCTAGTCCTGAGCTGCCCACCTTGAGGCACCCATGGTGCCGCTGCAGACCACTAGATGGCGCACAAGAACACCAGATGGTGCTTCCCTGCGCTCTGCTCCTGCCTGGGGATAGGCAAGCCACGTGCCAGACCCCATGCCAGATTCTGTGACAAGGACCGGAACCAGCAGGGACATTCGTGGTCAGCCGAGCACCTGCTGCTGGCACATAGCTTCTAAGAACTATCAGCTGCCACCAACGTTTGCCCCAGAACACAGTATTTTCTCACCTGCTGTGTCTGTCGCCACAGTGTCCCCCAGAGGGCTGGGGCTGGCCACAGGAGTGAGGGTTGTGAGATGGGGCCGCAAGGACTGTGCTTCCTTCCATCCCGGTATGTACCCACGCCGGCATCCAGTAGTCAGGCCTGTGTGGGGACCCAGTAGGTTCATGTAAGTCACTCTTGTTACTTTGTACTTAACTTGTGTGCTTGTAAAGAAATTCCGCATCTATGTTGTTCTGTTCATCCGGTTTCCTCACATGCCAGGCAGGGTGCCCAGACAGCGGGGACACTGCCTGCCAGCATGGGCCTGGCCTCATCCACGCTCTGTGTAATCTATATGGGTCTTGGGGTGCTGGAGCCAGTGCCTCACAGACCAGGAATGTTGCCTTTCCCATCCGTTCTGGCCCCAGTAAATAAGCCTCAGATGATTCGTGGCTGTGCCTGCTGCACGTGATCCAGCAGGACCATGCTAGCCAGTCCCAGCAGTTCTCAGAAGTGGCCCTTGAGGGGCCCTCTGTAACCACTGTTTGTTGAATGCCCACTGCGTACCGGGCATGATGCCAGTCCCGGGCTGAGTGTGACTTGCAGTGTTTCCTGTCGCCTCTCTGCATTCTCCCAGAATTGCTGTCAGTGTCTTCGCGCGCCGCTTCAAACCCTGAGGCTTGGAATAGCACAGTGCCTGGCCAGATTTACCCAGCAGGCAGGGGCCGGATCAGGTTTGCAGAACCTGAGCCCCTGACCACTCAGCTTTCCATGTGGCCAAACCCTCGAGGTAGACATTGTCCTCCCTGCTTTATGGAGGAGGCCTCAGGCTCAGAAAAGCAGCACAGCCTGACCCGTGAGCAGCAGGCCAGAAGCGCCTGCTGCCCGCAGCTCTTCCCAGCCCAGCCCTGGGCTGCAGCTGCAGCTGCCTGGGTTATTTTCATCGCTCCTGTCATTCCAGCCAAACCGCTGGGCCAGTGAGTCAGCCATGTGGTCAGGGGAAGAGGGTACTGCTGGGAGCTCGCAGTGGAAGAACTTTCCAGTGGGTACCCCAAGGAAGGGCCCCTTTCCTTTGGCCCCACCCATGGCTTTGGGCAGTCACTGCCCCATGAGCCAGGGGCCTTCTCCACAAAGGCATGGGTGGTGGAGAGGGGTTCACCTCCCAGTGACTTGGACACCTTGTCCCTTCCCCCCAGGTGTCTGCTGTGCCCACTGTGCTGGCCATCAAGAATGGAGATGTGGTGGACAAATTTGTGGGCATCAAGGATGAGGACCAGCTGGAGGCCTTCCTGAAAAAGCTGATTGGCTGACAACAGGAAAGAGTCCTGACCACCCTGCCCCCGGGACCCCAGTCCCGGCGCGGGAACCCAGTAGAACTCACAGCCCTTCCCGCCGCCCCCATCTGCTCCCCGGGGACTGTGCTTGGAGACCACGGAGCCGCCAGTGCTTCCAAGCTGGCCAGCTGCCAGCAGCCTCAGAGGAGCGATGGTGCTGCCGCTCTGGGGTGTCGTCTTCCCACCCATCTGTTTTGTCCCCTCCTGCCACGGCCCGAGATCCTTCTCCCAAGACGCTCGAGAGAGCCTGGGGCCAGCCTGCAGCGCGGTTTCCCAGCAGCAGCAGCTTGGTCCCCTCTGACCTAAACCCCAGCCTGGCCCACCGGGGTCCTCTCGCATTTGTCTTTCCTGCTGCTGTTTTGTAAAAAGAAAACCAGAAGCCAAACAAGGGAGAGTAATATATAATTCTCTCATTTTTTGTAGGTCTCTAATAAAGATCTTTATGCGATCTCCTGCCTCCTGCTATGAAGAACAGACCTTGGGGCCCTGAACTCAGATCATGTAGCCACCCCATCCCCGCCCCCAGAGTCCCCTCCTTTCCCCTCCGCCTCCCTCTCAGGCTCAGGACAGACCAGTCTGGGCTACAGGAGCCTTGACTTGCAGAGTGCCAGGCACCACCTTCCTAGCCAGTGGCCAGCACCTTGGTTCTGTGAGCAGAAGGCTGAACTGAACAAACCAGGCCAACAAACCTGGGCTCCCGGTCGCCAGCTTCCATTCCAGCTGGACTCTGAGCCCCGGGGGCTGGTGGGCTCTGGCTGTCTCTGCTCCTTTGACTCCACCGCCCTCTCCCTAACCAGCCCCTCCTGTCCATGGTGACTCTGTCCTGGGGACAGTGCACACACATCTTCATGCCTGCCCGCTCCAAGGCCAGAGGGTGCTGTCCACATTCCCAGACAGAGACGAGCTCACAGGCTGCCTGCGGGTTTCTGCCCTGTGTGCTGCTTCTGAAACCTAAGCTCTTAGAAGTGATCCTCTGGACTCTCCCTCCAGTGGCTGGCTCCTGGCCACTCAGATGCCAGCCCCTTCCTTCCCATCGTCGCTGCGGGAAGTCCTGGGCCTTGTGCCAGCCTGCACCTCAGCTTCTCCTGGTCCCCAGCTTCCCTCCACCAGCGGAGGCCCAGCCTCTCCTTCCCAGGGCTGAGAGCCATGCTGGTGCTTGCAGGTCTTGGGTACTCGGTAGCTGCACTGTCTGTCACCCTCCTCTTCTGCCCTAAGCATGCTGACCGAGGGCCCATGTGTCCTCCCAGTGGCTCGCCCTGTCCCCTTTAGGTCCCAGAACTGCCTTGGGAAGGCTGCTATCACGGCTCAGTAGAGAGACTCGTGGCCTCTGAAAGACCCTGGTCTGTGATCTGCAAGTGGCATTAGTGGAAAAGGAAGTCTGTGTGGTGACCTCTGCACAGGGCACAGGCTGTGAGCGGAACGAGGCACCACCCATGTCCTGTGCCTCCCTCAGTAGCTCCGTGAGGGGGTTTTAAGGACCTCATTCAGCTGTCCCATGGGAGACCTGCACGGATTTACCAAGCACGTTCAAACTCATGGATCAGTGACATGGAGTGGCCTTGAGGGTCCCAGGCCAGGATTCTCCTTCCCACCTCCTCCCTTCCCACCATATAAAGCATGGCTGAGCTAGGCGTGGTTGTATAGCCTGTAATCCTAGTGCCGGCCAGGCTGGGTTACCCAGTGAGTGCAAGGCCAGCCTCAACTACATAGTAAGACCTGCCGCCAAGTCAGAACAACGGAACAGTGAGTCTGACGTCCCGATGAGCTGACATGGCAGGCGGGCTCACTTTACACAAGAGATGCTGAGCACAGGCTGAGTCACAGGCACCCAGTGAGTGGGGCAGGGGCAGGCCCTCCTGTGGCACCCCCCGCCGCTCCTTAAAAGGTGCCCTTCCCCAAGCGCTTTCGACATGCATTACCTCATTTAATTCCACTCTTGTGAGGTAAGGATTATTTCCACATTATAAGGGAAACCCGTTCAGGGAAATTGACTTGCCCAAGGTCACATCTAAAAGTGACTTTGCTGAATATGAATCCAGGCTGGAGGTCCAACCACTTCACCTTTGAGGGTGTAAAAGTCAGCAGAGGCCTGGTACCACGTTCGGGCTTCCCCCTGCCCCAAGCTCCCCAGCCTTAAAAGGTGCCTCGCCAGGTGAGGGGCGCTTGTGGCCATGGCCAGAGCTGTCCCAGGTTGGCAGTCTCTGGGACCCAGGCTGCCGCTGGCTGAGTCACTGGCTGTGAGTAGAGTCTGCAGTGACCCTAATTCCACAGCACTGCCCTCACCCGGCCACACTGGCCCTGGCGGCAGGTCTTGGGTGCCTTGTAGGGCTCCGGGTAGGGGTAGAGGAGTCACAGCTGCTTAAAGCCTGTCACCCCCAGCTGGGGAAGCCCACAGAGGGGGCAAGGTGCAGGTTCAGCTGCAGAGCATCCTGGGGTGTGGCCTCCCCCCATTATTCTGGTGCCCAGTTCCCCCAGCATTTGAGATGTTTTGTGGTCACTACCATGACTTCCTTTTAACTGTGCAGAACATAGAGAAACTGACCACACCTACAAGGAGTTTATGTACCAAAGACCCCAGAGCAAGAATTTGTGGGTGGCTCCTGGTGGCTGTCAGGAGTGAGAGGACCAGGCTACCATCAGTCCCCCTCCTGAGGGCACAGGGAGGAGAGCCTTGCTGAGTCTCGGAAGATGCCTTTGTGTAGGCCTCGGACTTGAACCTGTGCCCAGACTGCCACCCTAAAGCAACAAGGAGGTGCAGAGGGCCCTTCCCCCAGATTGCAGGAGAAAGTGGACTCCCGGTCCAGGACCGCTGGGGTCAAGAGGATGTTGACCGTGCTGTCACCACTGCCCTTCCCAGCAGTCCCTGCCCAGCCAGGGCCCGCCTTGCCACCTGGGGAAAGTTTCTTCTGGAAAGTGAAGCCAGCTCTAGCTGGGCTCGGAAATCGCTCATGTGGACCCTGGGCTGCTAAAAACAATGCTGACGGGGCTGGGGATTTAGCTCAGCGGCACAAGTGCCTGCCTTGCAAGCAGGCAGTCGTGAGTTCGATCCCTGGTACCGATAAAAAGGAAAAAGACAAAAAAAAAAAAAAAAAAATTAAAAAACAATGCTGACATCCTATGTCCTGTGCAGGCAGGATGCTGCCACAGCTCCGCCCCACTGCCCGGAACACCCTGGCCTGGGCTGGGGTCTGCAGCTCCACGGGAAATCTGGGCAGGAACATCCCACTCTTGGGACCCACTAGTTGTGTGACGGCATGCAAGCTGCCTCTTCACCCCAAGGCTCGGTTTTTATAGCGGTAGAGGGGTGATGAAGGTGGCCCGCACCCGCAGAGCGAATCACCTATGTGATCTCACTGGGTCTTCACAACAACCTCCAAAGACAGGGACTGCTATTACACCATTTTACAGATGAGGGGAACTGAGGCTCCAAGAGTGTAACTTGGCATGAAAGAATCTCAGAACTCCGACTCCCACCCAAATGTGTTTCACCCCAAAGTTTCTGTTTCTTACCTACCAGCAAGACTACTTGCCTTCTGGGCCAAAAGTTTTCACCAATCTGAGCCCCAACTGTGTTCTCTGCAAATTAGGCCCTGGGGAGGATTAAGTGGCCCAGCAAGTGGCAGTACTGTGTCACCTCGTGGGGGCTAATGCTTCCCTCCCCAGCTCTGCTGCTCTAAGCTGCAGCTCAAACAGGAAACACCAGCTTCCCAAGATAAGGCCCAGCACCCACCAGGGGAGGGAGAGGACCTGGCTCAGTACCAGGCTCACACTGGGCCGGGTGTGCCAGCCCTGGCCCTTGCCACTGCCCCCTCCCTCTAGGCTTGGGCAGCCCTGGGGAGCCGGCAGTGGTGATGTCACCCTTGGAGAATGCCTACTGGAATTCACCGACTTCTGATTCTCCACCTCCAGCCATTCCGACTGCCTCCTCTCACCACCGGTGGGGGCATCACTGGGAGCTCCGACACTCAGGCTGCTATGGGCTGCTGTGTGCTAACCATGCTGGTACTACCATGGCTGCCTACAGGTGAGCGCAGGGGTAGTTGCCTGTCACCCTGTGTTTTCCCTGACCTCCCACCCCCACCTCAGGCAGGGACTGTTGTTCCCATTTCCCATAAGAGACCGTGGCCCGGAGAGGTGGCCACAGCCACCCAGAGCCACACTCAGGGAATAGGCCTAGGGTGGCTTGACCGTTGGCCACATTGTTGTCCCTGGGAGAGTCAGAGGACACCGCTTTTCACATCAAATATGAGATCCCCCATCCCAGAAGGAAGCAGGAGCTTCCCTTAGCTCTGGACCCACTCCTAAGGCTGGAGTAGCCTCCCATCAGCCCCCACTGCCCTGGCCAGCGTCTAGGAGCGCTTTTCCATATCGGGGTGCTAGCAGCTAGAGGGATGCACAGTCCTTCCTAGGGGTGAGGCTGGGATGCAGGGGGTGGGGTGTAAGTGTGTGAGGCCCCCCAGGGCTGGAGGCAGCCTTGGGGGCCACACCCACCCAGCATAGGGCTGGTCCTTTCCCTGGTTATCATGGTCTGTTTGTTTTTATCTTTCCAATAGGACAGAACCCTCTGGAGGTGGAGAGACGGACAAGGCCTAACGCAGCCATGTGGCAAGTGCCTGTTAAAAGTTCTGTGATCACTGAGTGGCAGGCACCTGCCTTCATCTGCTGCTCTGACAAAATAGCAAAGATGAGGCTTAAGCAATAGAAATTTATTTTCTCGAGGTCAGGAGGCTGAAACACCAAGCTCAGCTGGGCAGTGCTGGCTTCTCCTGAAGCCTCTGTCCTCAGCTCGGGGCTGGCCACCCACTCTCCTGCTAACCTATATGGCATGTTCCTAGTGTCTCTCTGAGTCCAAATGTCTTCTTATAAAGGCCACCCATCAGATCGGATTAGGGTGCACCCTCATGGCCTCATTTTAACATAATCTCTCATTTAAAACCCCTGTCTCCAGCTGGGCGTGGTGGCTCATGCCTGTAACAGCAGCACTCAGAAGGTTGAGGCAGGAGGATCCTTGCAAGTTCCAGACCACCCTCGGCTACAAAGTCAGCTCAACACTAGCCTGAACTGCATAGCAAGACCCTGTCTCAAAAGGACAAAAACAAAACCCTGTCTCCAAATATTGTCACATTCTAAAGCACAGGGGGGCTGTGGCATCAACCCCTGCATGGGCACAGGTCAGCTCGTGACAAAAGTTTACAAATTTAACAATAAAAGTGTCATACAGATTGCTGGGCTGGTTCCAGTAACTCCAGCATATTAACTCTGTTTTGTTTTGGTTTTATCCTGGAGATTGTCCCCTGGGCCTTCACATTAAGCTACATCCCTAGCCTCTTTCTTCTTCTTTATTTTGAGGCAAAGATTTGCTTAGTTGCCCAGGCTGAATTCAAATTTACAATCTTTTTGCCTCAGCCTCCCCAAGAGCTGGGATTACAGGAATGCACCACCACACTCAGCTCATATTAACTCATTTAATGCCCAGGTAAGCTGAGGAGGGAGGTCCCATAATCAATTCCAGTTTATGACAAAAATCATGGTGATATGCAAGAAATAATATAGCTCTCAATCTGTTAGATATCAGATATACCAAGTTTGTGTTCCCCAGAACTGAAGAATGAATTCTATGAAACAGCAGAAGTTAAGGTTTATTCTGAGAGACAGGAGGGGACCTGAAGGTGGGTTGCCCACAAGCCCCCTTTCTCAAAGTTTTATGGAGCAAAATCTTGAGGTGGGTACAACGTGGGTCAAGATTGTGACCAACCAGTAAGTTTATAAGCCTGGCTGCTTAGGTAATATTGATCCAGTGCTGAATCAGGTCATGTAGCAAGTGGCCACGGAAACAACAAAACTTTTCTGGGAAGGGATGGGTCAGGGGGTCCTGGTCACTCACTTGAATGACTGATGTCTGTCTAGACTTTATTGGACCAGGAGGCAGTGAAAGGATTTTGCCCCAGTTGGGACACTAGCCAGTAAAGTCTTGGAGGCGGGACCAAGGGGCTCTATCTTGAGGTCACCTTTCCCCGCCCCTGGGAAATTACCTGTGGCACAAAATGAATACCAATGGGCTACCTGTGCATCACTAATGCCCCCTAGGCACCACCCAAAACCTAAGCTACATGTATGCCCCATACCATGTGTCTGGCGGAGAGAATGCCAGTTCCGAATGCCAGCCCCCCGGAGACAATGCCAGACCCCGGAGGTTCAGGGGTCTCTCCCCACACTCTTAAAATAAAGGTCATTTATATTTCATACTTCTTTTCAGCCACGCCACAATTGTATCAGACAGCAAATACAGTATCATCTTTAATGTATTGTTTACCCCTTGGGGAGGCATGTAGGCCTGGTCATTCCATCTTTATCTTGAAGCGTGGCCTTCAAGGGATGCACCTCCAGCCAGTCCTGATGTGTTCTTGTTCTCTGCCCCGACTCCTCCAAGCACCCAGCCCCGTCTGCCTGCATAGACTCCTACCTAACTTAGCTGTTACTTATGGTCCAGGGGACACAGCTAGGAAGGGGCGGGGCAGGACTAAACCTGGACCACTGCACTTCTCAGACCCAGAGGTCTCTCTGCCAGGGGCACATTGTTACCCTTGTCCCCAGTGTGGGACATTTAGGTGTTTTTCCATTAATTACTTTCCCTGTGTAAATGTAGGAGCAAACTGTGTTTGGGCATAGAGCTCTCTTCACTTAAGACTTTACAGAGGTGGGATTTCCAGGGCAAAGGGAGCCTGTTATTGTCCTGAGGGCAGGGAAGCAGTGTCCCCAGCCTGAAGCCTGCAGAGCTCCACCTGCACCTCCCACCTGCCAGTTTACTTTGGGGGCAGGGAGGCTGAGCTGCAGGAACGTCCTGGCTGTCTCCCATACCCAGTCACCTCTTTGTCCCATACACCTTTGCCTTAGAAAGTTCCAGGTCCCCAGCTCAACATGGTGGCCCCAGCCTGGCCTGTAATTGAGATGAAACTTCAAGCCCAGTGGCAATTCCCCAACTTACTGAGACCCTGTCGCAAAAGAAAAGAAAACTTTTTCAAAAGGGCTGGGAAGGTAGCTCAGTGTGAAGCCCTGGGTTCAAATCCTGGTACTACAAAAAAAGAAAGAAAAAAAAAAAAGAAAGAAAGGAAAAAAGAAAGTTCTGGGCCCTGAATTCTTGTGTCCTTTGCAGCCAGGTCCACATGAAGGCCCAGATCAGGCCTGGGGACTGGGGTGAGATGGGAGGACTTGCCTCTTCACCTGGGGTCACTGACTCTGGCCCCTGCATCTGCCCTGAACACCTTCCTCACCCACCTCTCTACCTCCTCTGGGCCAACCCGGCACCTCTGTTCTCACCAGTCCTCTGCCCCAGCCCTGCTCCCTCTCTGCAGGACGCGTGTGGCAGCCACTGGGTCCTGCTGTCCTGCAATGTATTCGTGGTTTCCACTTCACTTCCAACAGATCAGTTCCCATCTTCCAAGATCCTGTGATGCTGAGGTGGGAAAGGAAGGAAGCCACCAAGGCTGGACCCGGACTGGGAAACAGAGGCCCCATCTAGCGAGCAAGGGGAGAGACGGGTGTGGGACAGGCTGCCCAGGGACCACAGCGTCTGCTCAGTCCTTGGTCTTGACTGCTTGAGCCTCAGCCGGCCAGCCTCGGACCTCCTCCACAGCCAAGGGGAAGGAAGGTGGCCTCCATGTCTGGCCCTGCTCCCTGGGAGCTGTGGGTAACAGGGAGAGGCCAACTCCCTGGACAGGGGCCCAGGAGGATGTGCAGCTGGGTGGCTCCACTGGGCCATCCTGAGAGGATGAGACTGTTGTGCAGTGGGGCCAGGCCATCTGGCTGCCCTCACCCACCCAGGCCAGCTCAGCCTTTATTCCCTCTTGACAGGCTGCATTTCCCAGAACTCTGCTGCTTGGGTCACAAACCTCAGGGTCAGGAAGGGCTCCAAGAGCAGCTCCTACTCCACTTAGTGAAGGACAGAAGACATCCGGGGCCCGCAAGGGGAGGTGACAGACTGCTGGCCTGCTGGTGAGTGGCCAGGTCAGGAGTGGGTTCCTCTGAAACCCAGCTAACCCCTCCCTCTTCCCTCCCTCCTCCAGTGATCCATGAATCAGCCTCAGAGGCACCATGTCCATGCATCTGTGCCCCACTGGACTGGCAGGGGGAGGGGATGTCCCAGTGCTGGGCAGAGGGCCTGGCAAAGAAGTGCCCTGTGGGTCTTCATTGGGGTAAATGGCCTTCCTGCCCCAGGTTTGCAACCCCTGCTACCCTCATTCTGCCCATTTATTTGTGACAGTGTTTTGATATCCTCCTGCCTCAGCTTCTCCAGCCCCGGTTGGGATTGCAGGTTTGCCCTACCACACCCAGATCCAGTCCCACCCCTTTGTGCTGTGAGTGTTTTGAGGAGTCTTCTAAGTCTCCCAGGCCTTCATGCAGGAGAGTTTGTGTCTTTAATAGGGGTGGCCCAGGGAAGCAGAGAGTAGGACAAGCCTGAGGGCCCAGGGGTTAGAACTTGGTCTGGAGTTTGCCATCGCCCCAGTTGGCTTAAGACTAAAGAGATGCCTGGGGCATGGGGCATTCAGTGCTAAAGAAAGCACATAATAGTCACCCCAGTGCCGACTCTCCATTTGTTCTGTCACTGGAAGTGACTGCTTCACCTCCTGAAGTCTCAGAAGCATCTACCCTCTGTCTCTCCTAGTTGCCATGAAGCCCTGAGGACCTCCTCTCCTCTGCCTCACTCGCAGACACCAATTCAGCGCCTCCTGTATGCCAGGCATCAGGAATGCCCAGCTGGAGAGGAAGAGTCCACACCTCCTGCAATCCACAGCATGTGCATGGTCTCTATGTACCAAGCACTGTCTATTCTCTCTTTCCTTTTCCTTTCCTTTTCTTCTTTCTTTTTTTTTTTTTTTTTTGTTAGTGAGGATTGAACTCACAACCTTGCACTTGCCAAGCAGGCACTTGTGCCGCTGAGCTAAATCCCCAGCCCTACTAAACATTGTCTTAAACATTTCACAAATATTAACTCATTAGATTTTTCACAAAAAGCATAAGGTGTGGATTATTCTATCCTTATTTTGCAGATGAAGAAATTGAATTTCAAACAGGTTAATCAGGGGCTGGGGATTTAGCTCAGCGGCATAAGCGCCTGCCTTGCAGGAGCACAGTCTTGTGTTCAATCCCTGGTACCAAAAAAAAGAAAAAAAAAAAAAAAGTTAATCAGTTGGGAAGTAGTTGGAGGATTGCTTACCCAGGAGTTAGGAGCTATAGGATGCTATGCCCATCAGGGAGACACTAAATCTAAGTCTAGCATCCCTCCAGGGAGCGAGGAGGTCCTTTTGGGAGCAAGGTTCATGCAAGGAACTCTGGGGGATTTATTCCTGGGCAACTGGCAGGTGTTGGGACTCTCCTGGATAGCGCGGTGCAGCAGGGAATGGAGAACTCACAGTGGCCCGTGCAACGAGCAAGGACAGTCAGGACCCAGGAATGCGTGGGAATAGCAGAGGAGCAGCGGATAGAGCTGGGATTTTAAGGATCTGGGCTGCCATGAGCGCTTGAAGGGAAACACAGGAGGTAAGGTGACCAGAGGTGCCTCCTGATGGATGGCCTTCCTGCAATGGGTAAAGCCGGGCAACAGCAGCGCAGTTAACCAAACACTTGTGCAGGAGGCCAATGTTCAGCCAGGTCCAGGGCTCCGCCTGGGGCCAGAGACGTCCTTCCCGCGTTAGTGAGTGGCTCGTCCTCCAGATCTGCGGCTGTCTGTGCCACGGAGGGGTCCTTTCCAGTTTGCTCTCCCACCCCTAGTGAGGGCCTGCGGGCGGTGGGGTGCAGGATAAACGCGCCCACAGAGGCAAGGCAGCGCCCCAGCCAGGTCCGGAGAAGGAAAGCCCGGACTTCCCAAAGTTGAGCCCGGGTGGGACCCTGTCGGGTAGGGCCCCCAGAATCGGGCGGGCCTCGGGCGGGGCCGGCTGGTCGACGCCCCTCGTCGCAGCGCTTGACCATATAAGGCCAGCGCCGCGCGCCCCTCGCCGAGCGGCTGTCGTCACCGGCGTCCGCCCGCCCGCCAGTCCGTCCGCGGCACCTTTCCAGCGCCGCTCCTCCGCTTCCGGCCCGGAACCGCGGCCACGCCCCGGCCACGCCCACCGCCCCGCAGGGCCCGCCCACCGACCCCCTCACCTGCGCCCCGCCCCGTCCCGCGGCGGCCAATCCCGGACAAGTGGAGCGAGCCGGTGGGTCTGCTGAGCCGGGAAGGGAGGGGTGCTGGGCCACCCGAAAGCCAGGGGTGAAGGTGGGAGGGAAGTCAGTACTGAGCGCCTGCTGAATATCCGGCTTTGAACTCGGGATTCAAAAAGTGTGTCTGTCTAAACCGCCGGCAGGACAGCAGTAAAAACCCTGTTCCAGTCTCTCTAGATTGCTTACTGGCTTTGGGAACTGCGGACAACTCGTGTGCCTCAGTTTCCTCACCTATGAAATGAACACGGGATTGGGTGATGTTAGATGTGTTACCATAAGTCAGCACTTGCTGTATGTTTTTGGTGATGTTATTTACTGGTTCTTGGTGAATGGATGAAATGGTTGATCGTGAAGGCATGTATCCCAGAGAGGCAGAGAGGGGTCCCAACAACCTGTGTTATTGGGACTTTAACCAGTGGTGTTTTTTTTGGTACCAGGGATAGAACTCACGACTTCGTGCTTGCTAGGAGAGTGCTCACTCTGCTAAGCTAAATCCCTGGCCCCCTAACCTATGGTCTTGTTTGCCAGTGTTAGGATTAGTACAACATTCAAAAACACCAAGGTACATATTTCTCATGTTTCAGTAAATTTCGGTTAGGGCCGAGAAGAATAGGATCAGAGCAAACTCCCAGCTCCACAGACACACAGTAATGGGCATTGAACCCACAGCCTTGGCACTGAGCTAAACCCCCAACCCTTTCTTCTTTTTTTTTTTTTTTCTTTCTTTCTTTTGGTACTGGGGATCAAACTCACAATCTCGCACTTGCCCAGCAGACACTTTTGCCACTGAGCTAAATCCCTCACCTATTCCCCAACCCTTTAAAAAGAAAAAAAAATTTGTTTTGAGATAGGCTGGGCTTGAACTTGTGACCTTCCTGACTCGGCCTTCCGGAGTGCTAGGGCTATGGATGTGCACTGCCATGTTGGTCTAACAGTCTGCATTTTTAGCAAAGGGAAAGCCTCAGACTGAGATCCTTGGGCGGGAGATGGAGCCAGGCAATTTAACAAAACTATTTTTTTTGATGATTTAGAGCTTCCATAGAGAGTTTAGAATTACTATCCATGCATGGTGGTGACATCATATTCACTTAGTATTTTTACTATGAAGTGCTTGAAAATACACACAAGGGTATATAGAATAATGTGACTCCCTAATAATCACTTTCTTTATTTACAGCACTGGGGATTGAGCCCAGGGCCTCTCGGACACTGCACTCCTGTACTCTATCTAGTTTTCCCTTTTAAAATATGTATGTGTGTAAGACGTGATCTGATTAAAAAGGCAAAGAAATAAAAGTGTACAGGTGCAAGGGCAAAACTCAGGAATGTCCTTGTACAGTGCCTGGCCAGCATGCGCCCCCCCAGCACCACTTTGTGCCCGTGTGGGATGAGCCCGCAGTCATCTTCTCCTTCCCATCTGTGTCAGGGAGGGAAGAAGACGAGGCAGGGGCCCAGCAGGGGCCCAGCGGCCTGGCTCTGCCCTGGTGGCATACACCATGCTCGCAAACCCCTCCTCAGCACACTGTACTCAGTGGTCTCCAAACCCAAGCCTTGGCCTGGGTGATGACAGCCTTGTTTGTCACTGCCTGCCTGGTCCAGTCCCCCACTGCGCATCCCAGAGCACGAGGAGTATTCTAAACCATGACACTGACCACCTGTCTCCTTCCGGTTTACCCTCCCTGCCCAGTATTCCCCAGAGCGGCTGGAGAAAGCCCAGCTCTTCCCGCTGCCTGCAGGGGTGACTTCTCCCTTACACTTGCCACCCAGGCCAGTCTGAGCCACCTGTAGTTTCCCGAATATTCCACTGGTTAATGTTTAATGGGTTAGGCTGCCAGAACCATCAGGCTCAGCTCAGGAGGCACCACCTGGTATTACCCTGTCCTGGAGTTCAGTATAGGGGGAGTTAAACACCTCAGTGTAACCATCAGACAAGTGGCATGTGCTGTGAAGGATTTACGTGATGCCAAGAGAATTTCAGTCTTTTGCCTAAAGGACCCCCATCCGATCCCACCCTGCCTGGCCTTCCACCGTTGTCTACTTTTTTTTTTGTCTTTTTCATTTTTATCGGTACCGGGGATCGAACTCACGACCGCCTGCTTGAAGGCAGGTACTTATGCCGCTGAGCTAAATCCCCAGCCCCTCCACCGTTGTCTATTAACACAGCAAACCTCTGCACTCGTGTCCCAGCCCAGAGCACTTTGCCTCTGAGATCCACTGTCCCTTCACTCGTGTGCTTCTTTCATCCACAAATCAGAGTCAGCCGAGGTGGCCTCCACCTGCCACACCTTGATGGGGACCAGTTGGTTGGGAGGGTAGGTGATGGCAACAAAAGGGTCATCCCAGATGGGGCAGTGGAGCAGTTACAAGGTGGCCGGGAAGGAGGCAGCTTGGGGTCACAGTATGTGAGAAGGAAGGGTTTAAAGACCCAGAGGCCTGCGGGTGTGCAGCTGCCAGGGTGGCACCTGAGCAGGTGGCCAGGTGTGTGGAGGCGCTGAGGATGGGAAGCTGCAGGCAGGTGGGGTGACCTGCAGCTGGCTCCCACTCCTGCTGATGAACAAAGGGCCTGTAAGCGAGATCTCAGGCTGTGGCTTTTTAAGGCTTTGTGCCTGTGACCAGGAGCAGGAAATACATTACATCACACCCTGGCACAAGACATAAAACTGAAATCAGTTTCAGGAGAGAATTTATGCTTACCATCCAGGAGGCACTCTGTGATTGTCGCTTCTATTTTATCACTGTCATCATTAATCATTCTGATTTATTTAATCAATTAAAGTGCTAAAGTTTAATCAACTTCAAGATCCATCAGAAGGTCATGACCTGAAGCGCCCTTCTAGTCCCAGACCTGGTAATCTAGGAATGGCTGTGGGGTCAGGTGCACCAAGCTCCCCAACCATCAGGAGACCCTGGAGCTGCGAGCTTGGCTCTCAGGGGGACAGGTTCAGACACAGGGAAGAGATCAATCTCAGGTCACTTCCTCTGCCCTGTTTCTTCCCCGCCTCCCACCCCCAGCTCTGAGAAGCTGGCCACCAGCTCTGTGCCGTGGGCTGGGAAGTAGGTGTTGAAGGTCCAGCTGGCTTCTGGCTTCTGTCCCACCCCCAGGGGCCATTCTTCCTTTGTGTAGTGGAGCTGGCTGTTGTCTGTGCTGGCCACCTCAACAGCAGGCCTGGCACCTTGGCTTAGACAAGGTTGGAGTCCGAGTCCTTACGCTGTCGTCCATCAATGCCTCTGTCCAAATTTTTCTTCCGAGTTCTTTGAGGCTTTGGGAGAGATCTGGGAAATCTGGGGAGGGGAGATGCCACCAGTTTACTGGCTTTTAACTCTCAGAACCTTAGAACCGGAAGGGACCTTAGAAATAGAAACCAGACCTCTCCTTACACTGATCTGGAAACTGAGGTCTTAACAGGAGGAAAAGCTCACTCAGATTATACAGCAGCTAGTCTCAGGAGGACTGGAGACTCCTGGCTGTAAATCCATCACCTTCTCCCCACTGTTCCATGTTGGTGGTCTGCACAAAGATGGAGTGAGAAGGAGGCTTACAGAAGGATCCCGTTGGAGGCCCACATCCTGCTGTGTGTCTGCCCCGCCCTTCTGTGCACCCTGCCAGGGTCCCTGCCCTATGTGGGCTGCAGAAGGGGTGGGAGGTGATGTCCTGCAGCCCTTCCGGCTCTGGCCTCTCTTCTGTGCATGCAGGGTGTTCCTGCTGTCTGCAAAACTGACAACCGGAAGGTAAAACCTGTGGGAACCGGTGTCCTCCCAGGAACAGGCGGCTTCCCCGGGGCCTCAGGATTATGGCTTCTAGTCCTTTCTTTCTGGAGACATTGGATATGGCCTGAAATCCAGGCAGAGCTGGCCTCCCCCGTCCAGAGTGGCCTTAGAGCTCCCCTGACCCTTGTGGCACTCTGCCCGCTCAGCTTGTTTCCTTTTCCTCATGGGTGTCTTGTCCTCATGGGGACCCGCCATCAGGGAGCTTCCCAGAAGGGAAAAGGATTCCCCCACCCAGGAGAGGCACAGTGAATGCTGGATAGGATTTGGGGTCTTGGCCCAAAGTGCCTGAGTTCTGGTTCCTGCTGCTGGCCTTGGGGGTGGCTTAGTTCACCTCACTGAGCTCCAAGTTCTCAGTCACATACTGAAGACCATGGGCCGCACTTTGAAAATCAAGTGAGCGGCCCAGTGTAGTGGGGCACTGAACTGCATAGTGAACCCTATCTCAAAAACACAAACGAAAAAAAAAAAAGGAAAATGAAGTAAAGGACCGTAATTGATCAGGGCTGTGGCCGGCATCCAGCAGGCACTTGGTAGCTTTGGGTCACAGGGATGTGTTAGATTCCATTCCCTCCAGGGGTGTGAACACCCCACTGAGGAAGAAATGGCACCAATGCTATACTGTGCTGAGTGCTTTTTTCCTACAGCATCTCCAGGTGCCTGGTGGGCACCCTGTGGGAGGACTGTCCAGGCTCACACCCAAGTCTCCCTGCCCCAGGACCCTTGCCTGTGCCATTCCCATTGTCTCAAGGCATTCGTGCCACTTGGACGCCCCTCCTGATTCTCAGGTCCTGAGCAGTAAACAGCTCTGACTGCTGGCCTGCTTTTCCTTCCCCAAGACTGTGTCACTTTGCCCTGGGTGCTTTGGTTTCCAGCCGGAAAGTGAGTCTGAGTAATTAAGCAGAGAATAAAATAAGAATAAAAATAAGAGTGGAGAGTGAGAATAAAAATAAGCAGTGGAGGTCTGGATTAAACTTCAAGGTGCTGAGCTGCTGGAAGGGAGGAAGGCCAGATGGCTGTGCTCAGAGAACTGCAAACTCCTGGGGACACTGCCTCCTCCCAGAGGTGTCTGACCTCTGTGCCTTTGGTCATGGG